AGACACCTGAGATATTAGAACAACTTGTTAAATCTGTTAAAACTAAAAAATCTACTATTAGTTTGTATAGATAATTGTTATCAATAAATCAATTTGATATGCAGATGTTAAGAGATGAGTGGAATAAAGAATTAGAGGTTTCTATATTGCCGGAATAAAGAATTAGAGGTTTCTATATTGCCGGAATAAAGAATTAGAGGTTTCTATATTGCCTAGACAATGGGAGAGTGTCTTAACTTCTATTGCAAGAATGTCAATGGACCTTAAACTACGACTTATACAACAAAAAATAATACTTAGAATTTATTGGACTCCACTATGAATAGAAAAGGATTGTCAAAAACAGCATTTTGTTGGAGACGTAATAAGGACAATGCCTCTTTAAAGCATGTTTTTACAATGTCTTGTAATTATTAAGTTTTGGGAGAAAGTAGTGGACTATATAAATGTGATGGTGCGACAAAAGCTAAAATTTTCAGAGGATAATATTCTCTTGAATTACATACCTAGTACATGGAACTTGACATCTGGTCAATGTAAATGGTTTCTCCGTGCCTCTAGTATGGCCAAAACACTGATATTGCAGCATTGGAAAGATAAATGTATAGCCCCATTTATTCAATGGATTGAAGACCTGATTGCATTTGCCACATATGAGCGGATTGCCCATAGATGAAGACTTTGTATGGACAAGTATGATGAAATATGGGACTCATTTATACAAAATACAGTGGGTTATAAAAAAAAAAACATGATAGTCACAGAAATATATATGTACTTGAATAATATTTGTATCAGATACTGTTAGAAAACTGTAACTGTTTGTTGTTATGATATATTAACATTTTTTTCTCTTTGTTGTAATTTTTTCCCGTCTTCATTAAAGCGCTTTTATGTATTTTTTTTCTTCCTTTTGTAATAAAATAAATAAATAAATAAATAAATATTTGGGTGCTGGGTTCTGTTTCCTCATCGGGAAATATTCTGCAGTGCAGGCTGGCAATAGTAGTTGCCACGATCGGGCAGCTGCAAGTTTAGAAAGAAATTAAAACTGCTCCATTTTGACTGGAGTATTGCCACCGTGGCCAACTAAGCCTGCCAAATAACCTTTCACTTCCAATGAAAGAAAGCATTTTGCCCTGGAGGCCCTTTGCCCAAAGCCTGCTGAAACTTGAAGCCAACTGTGCTGCGGATAGACAATACAACCACCGGCCCTACCATCAGGCAGACTGATAGCGTCACCTCAAACAGCAGTTTCCCTTTTTTTCCCCTAGTTAGTTGCTTTATTCAATTATAAGATGCAAATAATACATTATAGAAGAATACAGATATTAGCTGGATACAGCAGTATTGGTACAATATAAACTAGAAATTGTTCACTCTATAATGATTTAGGTAACTTAAACCTTTAAAGGAAAAAAAATTATATCAGTGTTAACTGGGATTCCGAGATGTCAGTGAACTTAAGGTTGCTTGACTTGCACCATTAAAGCTAAGTGTGTCCTTAATGACAATTGCAAAATGCATTATTTTATAATACAATACAGTAAGATTTGCTGTCTTGAGCTTAATACTTAAGACTAAGGTCTCTACTTTATTCTTACTTATTGTTGTTTATGAGTGTTAAAAAGAAAAAAACCAAAACAAAACAATAAGAAAAAGGAAAAGGAAAAAAATAAAAGAAGCTGCTTGGAAAAATGGATAGGGATTTGATTTCTAATTTTCCCCTTCTTTATGCTCCAACCAATTTGTAGTACTTATAAACATTCAGACCCCCTTAGAAACCATACTGTAAGGGTTTGGATTTGCCTTGGTGATATACCGTAGTCCCCGGTTTAAGAACGAGTTCCATTCCCAAGGTCTGTCCTTAAGTCGAATTTATATGTAAGCCGGAACAGTATTATTGTATAATACTGTATTAGTAGTATGGTGTAATGCAGGGTTCCTCAACCTTGGCGACTTGAGTTTATCCAACAAATCTACAATGCTGGCCTGAGGATAGATTTTTAGAGATTATATGGAACATTTCTGATCTGCCTTTCATCTCCATGAAGGCCTAGTGCAATATGCTTATACATTATATATGTATATTACATAAAGCAATAAAGTTAATACAACAAAATTGAGAACCATCACTATTCTAGTGAATAGTACAATGGATTTAAACTGGGTAAATTAAAAAAAAAAACTTCACTGAGCAAAGAACAGAGTCAGTGCCAGTAATTGTAGATAATTAAGTTCTAAATAAACAAAAACCAGCTCTGAAAATCATGGTTTTTGGACAGTTTTAAAAATGCAGGAGAAATAAATACTTTTTTTTTCTTTTTACAAAACTCTTGTTGAAAATTATATATGTAATTTTCAGGTGAGTGTCAAAGCCACTGTCCTGGACAAACCCCCTGCAAGAGTAAGCAAGGTTGAATCTGGTCAGTGTGTGGATGGCAGACACCTCAAAGGAACCCAACGTATGTTGCTTGCAGACACGTTGTAAAAAAAACAACCCCAGGAAATCAACTTCAAACATAAATGGAAATATTCTAATTTACTGTTGCACTGCTGATCAAAGCGAAAGTACTGCTTTATACACAGCCTGCCAGACTTCATGATTACATAGTAAATCCTGTTGTAGCAGAAAATCCTTTCTTAACATAAAACCAATTTATTGGAGCAAATGTATCATCTCAGATATTCTCCCCATGATCCTCAGTCATGTCACAGACAAGATGGAAGAAGGTATCTTTCTGATCCCCCAGAATCATACACAGTAATGCCGCAAGAGATCTTGGAGGCATTCGAGCCTGGAACACTAAAAGCTATCACTAAATTACAGCACAGTGTTCATTGTATCTGCTCAGAAGTGTGTCTCATGAACTTTAAAGTGATTTAGTCCCAAGAAAGAAGATACAGTATAAGACTGCAGCCTTAAGACAGCCCCATTTTTGCCTACTCAGGAAACTCAACTCAAATCAGGCTATAAATGCTTTATAATCAATAAAATCAAATATCTGACATAAGTCAAAACATGTTGGACTCAGTCTGTTCCCCCAACTTGCCAAACCATGCTTCGATGGGTCTGTGGGGCAAACAGAAACATTGACCGAGTAAATTTAGAATGGGATGTTGATTGTGACTGTTAAAAACGGGCAGCACCGTTTTCCTGTCATTTTGAGGCCAAAGCATACAAAGGTTTTTGTGTAAGCCCTGAAATAGGCCTATCTTTAAAAAGGAAAAGGGGGGGGAAACATTTCAAAGTTCCCCTCAGTAAGTCATCCACAGCAGATCAGGCTTTGCCACAAGGAGTTTCACATCCAACTGCCAGCGCTCTGATGCCTTTATGTCATTTTTAACTTTAAAAGAAAAGTACCCGGGCCACCCCCTGCTTCCCAGTCATTCCTTGCAGGAATGCACACTCTGTGACCTGACAGCTGGTCACTCATTAAACATGCAAGGAAGTTTTCTTGCAACATCAAGGTGTGGCTTGCACATATGGATGAATAACTGCACCCACCAACACACCAAGCCCCAGCTGAAGAGTGGCCAAGGGGCCTCGCTTGGAATATCATCAGGGAACAGCCATAATATGATGCTTCAAGATAAGGCCTTCCCAGTACCCTCCCAGGGAAAGTGAGGTTAGCTCTCATGTTGTGTACTTTTAGAGAATAAATAAAAACAGCCTTGTTCACCCCAACTTTCAGGCTGACATTGGCCCATGGGCCTTGAATGTCTGCCAGTATATACTCTGCAGCTTCTTTTTCTCACAGTGGCCAGAATAACAATACACACGCGCTGTATTTTTGGTGTGCTAGACACCACCCAGGGCAAATAAAGTAAAACAAGCCCCCCTTTTTAATGAAGCCAATGTTCAGCTGCTACTCAGTCTTCAAGTGACTGAACTGTATGCGTATGAGGTACATCCCAGGTTCCTAGCAATAGCGAGAAAGCATTTTGCCTATGCTCAGAGGCTTTTCATACGCTGTCTGTACTTGATGGCGAAAATCAGCCAGGAAAGTTCAGTCCCACCCCAAATATGACTTAACTAGGACTAAATGTCACCCCTCACCTCTCCCATCCCCCTGTTACTCCCAATATTTCTTTACAGGCATCCCGAACCAACCTCTCGTTTTACAAAGAAAAGGGGCCATTGCCTAAGTGGGTAAACATTTTCAGGAAGATGGGGAATGGGTCCCACTATTGTCTACAGTATTTTCATTCCTTTTTTTTTTTATGCATTGCTGCTAACTCTCTTATTCATCTCGCGTTGGGAGAAATTTAGCCGATTAATCTCGCTCTTCAAAGCTTTTCTGTCCAAGTGCGTGTGGGGAAGAATCCCAACGCATCTCTCCCTGTTCAACTCCCGTCTACACCAATACGCCCCATAATGAGTGTGTCGGATGGCACACCAGCACAACGCTGGCGATTAACAAGGCGGAGGAGGCGTGTGGAGGGTTGTACTCACTCACGGCAGAGGCTGTGCACAAAATCCTCTCCCTCTCAGATCTTTCTGGCTCTCAACCCAGCAGAATTTGCAGCCAGCCACTGACCACATGACAGCCTCTTCCTCGCCCTATGCTCAGAAGCGGGCTGAATTGCTGGCTGAATCTTAATTCAGTCCTGGCCGGGAGCCAGGCCCCTCGACCTTACCTCAGACACAGGGATGCACAACAGCTCCCCCGGGGAAAACAGCTGAAGGACAGCCACTGAACCCTCTGACTGCACCACTGTTCCCATCCATCGCCGTTCTTTCCCCACCCCAAGAAAGCCGTGCCCCCCCCAACATCACATCAGCAGGGCAGCCTCTGGGTGACATTTGTTGAAAGGGGCGGGGGACCTCCCAAATTATGGACACTAGACCCCAATAATCATTACTCCCCCCATTTTCTAGACTCCTCTTAGCAATTCTTGCACCCCTCCAAGCCCCCCATCAGACCCCTCCTTTGTTTCCGGAT